AACCATTATTCAAAGTTTATTATAGCTGCTTTAAGAGCCTGGGGCTCTGCCAGAGCCTCTGAAAATCTAAGTGAAACTACTTACTCATTGGGAACCCTCTATGGGTGGCTGCGTTCTTCTCCCTCACATGCCCAGGCAGCTCTCTAAAGGGCGGTCACAGACACAGATGCTCCAGGATACACACACCCCGGCCCCATCACGTTTGTCCCCTAGAGACACTCATGGGGAACCCAGACAGACAGGCACAGAATTGCAGGAACAATCCCGCCACGTTTTAAGGAGAAAAAGAATTAACCAAGGTGCCCACCCACTTAAACACAAGGTTTTCTTAGCAACCTGGTATTTAAAAAAAAAGCCTTAATGTTGTGAATCTATACCTGGGACTACAGGTCTTCTAAATCCTGCCTGCCAGAGACCCCATTATGACCAGAGTTAGTGTTGAATCGGAGGCTGAACGAGGCCACCACTCTGTCGTTCTCTGGTGGCTTGCCATGTTGTTAGGGTGCTGGAAACTACGCTGCTTGTATTCAAATACCAGTAGGGTTATATAAAGTGGGCAGATCTTAGTGGCATTTCCATAGTAAGGTAGACTAGGAAGAAAAGACTGGCAACCTACTTTCCAAAATTAACCAATAAAAACCCATGGATAGCGACAAAATTTTGTCTGACACTGTGCCCAGACTCATTAACAACTTGCATTATGCTGATGACACAATCTTGCCTGCTGAAAGTGAGGAGAACAAGAGACATTTGCAGCAAAAGGTCAAGGACTATAATATGCAATATGGATTGAAGCTCACCATCAGGAAAATAAAGATTCTCACCACTGGGTCACCTGGCTTATTCATAATAGAGAAGAAGAAATTGAGATTGTTAACAAGTTCAGCTTGCTTGGTTTCACAATCAACACTCTTGGCACCAGCAGTCAGGAAATCAAAAGACAAATTGCATTTGGGAAAGTCTACTGTCAGGGACTCCTCTAGAGTACTGAAGAGCAATGATATCCTTCTGGAGACTAAGGTGTGCCTGATCCAAGTCATGGGCTTTGCAATTACTTGCTATGCATTAGAGAGCTGGACAATAACTAAGGACTATAGAAGAAGAATTTATACCTTTGAACTGTGGTGCTGGAGAAGAGTGTTCAACATACCATGGACTGCCAAGAGAACAAATACATCTGTCATACAGAGGGTGAAACCAAGCTGCTTCCTGGAGGCAAGGATTTTGAAGCTCTATCTCACATACTTTGGGCACATGGCCAAAAGGCTCCAGTCCTTGGAGAAGAACATCATGCTTGGAAGAGTGGAGGGACAGTGCAGGAAGGGAAGACCCAGAATGAGATGGATTGATTCAATGACTGGAGAAATGGGATTAGGTCTGTCAAAGATGATGAGACTAGTGCAGGATGGAGCAGGGTTCAGAGCTATTGTACACACAGTTGCTATAAGTCTCAGGCAACTAGATGGTACATAACAACACCATGCCCAGTAGGTTGGAAGGTGTGAAACAATAACCATAGCAACAGATCCCAAAAGAGATCACAAAGATGATGCTGAATCAGGCAATGCTTCTGTTGCACTTAAGGTTTCTATATGGAACTGGTTCAATGGCAACTCTCAATAAGTGACCATATTTAATGGGTAAAAAGAGTTGAACTGCCAACTCACAGGTGGGCTATTCTAATTCACCAGCTAATCCTTTGGAGAAAGATAGACTGTCTCTTTCCATGCCATTTTCAGTCCCTGAAAACCCACTAAAGGGTCAGCTATGGATCGACTAAGGCTTTTCGTATTGTGAGGTTTTTTGTTTGACCATTATTGACTATGAGCTTGGAAGGAGGGAGGGACAGCGCAAGAAAGGAAGACCGTGGATGAGATGGACTGACACAGTAAATGGGACAATGGGCGTAGGTGTGTCGGAGTCAGTGAGACTGGCTCATGACAAGGCAGGCTTCAAAGTTGTATCGCTATGAGACTCAGGCGACTTGATGGCACAGAACAACAACAACATCTATGAGCTGGAATCAACTTTATGGCCGTAAGTTTGTTTTCAGGTTCTATGTGTATATCTCACCTTCAGTGGCATGAAGTGTTAAGCATTGCACCACTAGCTAAAAGTTTGGCAGTTTAGACCCACTAGGCACCACCTCAGGAGTCAGTCTTGGCAATCTGCTTCCAAAAACTCAGACCTGAAAGCACTGTGGAGCTTGTCTACCCTGCAACACATGGTGCTGTCATGAGTGGACACCGACATGATGACACAACAGCACATCGCCTCCACAGTGGTGACCTCAAACACAGGTGGCCGGGAGGCAGAGCTGCGAGCCTTTCCAGATGTTTCCAAAAGACTGTGTTCACTCCATGCCTGTCCCATATGAAGCAGTGGTAGACTCCTCTGTGGGTGTCTGGGACTCTCCAGGTAAAGCAGAGTCATTTGGAAATGAGTGTTAGAGGAGCCCTCCTTGGCAACCTCCTCTTTACCTTCACTCCCATGGAAACCAGATTTGACCTCTTCTAATTAACTGGTGCCAGGAAACAGGTGGAGGCCTGTCTCAAGCGTGTCTCCTTGGAGTCGATGTTTCAGCAAAGCTTCGTTCCCAAACAGCTCAGTGCACCGACTGCCCCAGGGTCACTGATTCATTTTCACCCACCAGTTTTGTTATAGAGATATAGGGCTTGCCCTCCAACAGGGTGCAGTAGCCAAAGAGAGAGACTGAGTCATGGACCATCTCCAGAACTGACTACTGGACAAGCTTAAAAATCCTAAAGTGCCCCTTGAATGCAGGCCACCTCCCTCCCTTCCACACAAAGCCCACACTGCCCGCACTCACCTTTGGCCAGCAGACAGAGCTCTGGGAATACCTGGGGGGCTGCATGGAAGAGGCGCCTGCAGTTGCCTTGTGGAGGATGTTGGCATCCTTATTTCACGAGCCCAGCTCAGAGCTCCCTTCTGGGAAGCTCTTGCAGGTCACTGCTGGGAAGCTCTGACTTCTTGCCTCAGGCCCACAACCTCACCCGCCCAGGCATGTCTCAGCTCCTTCCCAAAGCCCAGCTGGATGCCCTGTTCTGGTTCCCCAGAGTGCCTGACCTTGTGAGTCACTATAGGCTACATATCTATCTACACCCCTTCCTACGACTGCTGGCTTGGTGGGGATGAGGCCATCAGGAATCAGGGTTCTGGGGCCACCACAGGCCCTCAGGAGTGGCAGGCCTGGAATGTTGTGCACTTTGAACCTGTGCCCAAAGATCTTATTTATGGAGACAGGGAGCTTGCTGGGAGTATGTTGATGGGAGCCTTTGATCCAAGGAGGAACGTGAACTCAAGGGGTGACTGGTTTGGGGGCTATCTGCCTCTTGGTCTCCTGTCACTCCTGGCAAGCTCAGGAGCACAGTCACCAGCAGGAGTGGATTTTTAAGAGCAGGTGGAGGTGAGAGGAAACAGCACTCTCCACTGTGAAGTGAGGCATCTACCCATTTTCAAAGTGAAAATGGAGGCACAAGCCAGGTTGGTCAGGGTTTCGTCGTGTGGCCCGGTCACATCACACATTCATTTAGTCCACAAGATTTATTGGATCCTGGCTGTATGCTGAGCCTCAGGATCACAGGGAGACAGCTAGCTCTGCCCTCCAGGAGCTTACAGTCTAGAAAGTTGGGCCCAAGGAGGCAGGAGGACCATATAGTCTTGCAGGGAACCTTGTTTGCTTAATGCTGTTCTTAACACTGATCTCTTCAACCATGCTCCACACCGCTCCCCCCTCCCCCAACATGCCACTCAAATCAGTGCCATCATCAGCTGGTGTGGTAAAAGTCTGAGTCACTGAACACCGTCAGGCTTGTAGGCTGGGGCGTGAGGGATAGAGGCACATGCTCCGGCCTCCCATGAATGCTCTGAGGATTCCCAGAAAATGGCTGCGGGGGTCCCTACTATTTCTTAGGCACCCATTACTGTGATCTAATGCCCCTCTCTGAGCTTTCGTACCCACCTAACTTCCAAAGAGAAGACAATCTCAGGTTTATATAAGCTACTTCAGGTAACCTGCCCCAGTGAGAAGGAAGTGGTTGGCAAGACAGAACAGAGGAAGGTGTTTACATGACCTGCTGCCACCCTCTGACTTCCTGCTCTTCCAGGACATGGGTCTGTTCACCTCTCAGCACCTTCTGTGCACTTGGCTGGGGCCCTCCAACTCAGCAAGTGCCCTGGAAACCACAGGGCCAGGCTCCCATGCCACACCTTCTTCACAATCCACGACTATGGCTGGGTTGTGGTGCATAGGTGCTTGCATTCAGTATTCAGGCATGAAAGCCTTCCCAAGACTACCTAGCTGGGCTCCTCCCCCTCAGCCGTGCTGCCTTCCCCCCAGGGATGGGAGGTTTGGGGAGGCAAGGTCCCTTCATGGAAGTAATGGAACCTCAACCTCCCTGGCCCCTGCTTTGGTGACCTCCAGAAAACTTTGGGCCTTGCTGCTTTGTGCCTGCAGGCTCCCGAGCCGAGCTGTCAGAAGGAAGCCCCTCTGGAGACAGTGACCGGTCAGAGTCAGGGCACATGGCTGCACCTGGCCCAGGTGAACTCCCGGCCCAGGCTTTGGGCTGGTGCCAGCGCTAGGACAGGTGCGTGGCACTCCGGGAAGCTGAGGCTGGTCTAGTTCCAGAATCACCTCCACCAGCTGGAATTGGGGAGGCAGCGTCACCTCCTCTGCTAGCCTCAAAACCCTAAGTTGAAGTGTGCAGATAGGGCCTCCTCCTTGCGTTTCCTCAAAGCCCCTCGCGGCCTTAAGTCGGCCATGCAGGTCGAACGGCCATGCAGGTCGAACACGCACTTCAGGCCTGGGTGTTGGTGTGGCCTGGTGTCTGGAAACAGCAGCCATCACAGGGAACTTTCTCCAAAACTGCAGTGCGCCTGGTCCCTCGAAGTTCCCAGGGTCTATGGCACTCTGGTGGCACAGTCCACAGCAAGTTGAGCCGTTAACCTGGAACTCCCAGGGTCCGAGAACCAGGTGGGAGTTACCATGGCCGCCAGAGGCCAGGTTCGCCTGCAGGCGCAAGTTGTGGGGGCGCAGGGGGCGAAGGTGGCGGGGCTGTGGAGGGCGGGTGGCTGTACTCCCCCGAGCGCCCGCCGTTGGGAGTGGCGCTGGCTGCCCTCCGCCGCAGGTGTTCCAACAGGCGCGCGCTCACATCGGGCTCCAGGACGTGGCAAGCGGGCAGGACACGGGCCAGACGGGCCAGGCAGGCGCGGTAGCCCTCGCTGAAGCTGTCGGAGGGCGCTGCGGAAGGAGAGAGAGGCGTGAGCTCACGCTGGTGAGCGGGGGAGGGCAGGCAGACGTGAGTGCCTCGCAGGCCGGGAAAGGGGTCACTCACCAGGCGTGACCGCCGGATAAGGAGATGTAGGCAGCTCCTGCAGGAAGCGCACTGTCATTTCCAGGATGTCCGCCTTTTCCAGCTTTGAGTAGCGGGAGCTCTGCGTCCAACCACGAGTGAATGGGGCCGAGAAAGGAACAGTCAGGACAGAGATCTCGGGCCAGTCGCCCGGGGTATTACGCTCTGACTAGGAACTGGGTTCCCTGCGCGCGCGTCGTGGTCTGCGAGCGATCCACGATTTAGCGCCAGCCTTGCTGGGCTCCACCTCGGGCGCTGCGCGGATGCCCTGTCCGGTCCTGTAGGTAAGGGCGCCCTGCCCACCTGCCCTGCTCGGCCCCCAGCCTGCCCGGTACGCGGAGCCCCCACCGCCCAACACTCACCTCTTTGCCCAGCAGCGGCAGGATTAGCCCCTTTAGCTGACTCAGGCTCTCGTTGATGCGCGCGCGGCGGCGCTTCTCCAGTAGCGGCTTCAGGCTCTGCGGGCGGAGAAGCTGGGGTTACACAGTTCCCAGAACCCAGCCTGCTCCCCAGACGCTCGGGCCTTCCTCCCGAGTGCCTACCTTGCGCAGCTCCGCCGCGTCTCCGGTCCTCCGCGGCAGCCCCATGTGCAGCAGGCAAGCGCAGGCGGCCTGCTCCGTGGAGATCTGCTCCTGCCGAACGCGGCGCACTTATCGAGGCGGTGGGAGAGCCCGGGAGAGAGGCTGGAGGAGTGGGAGCCGCCGCCGCAGCCGGGCTTTAAGTGGGCGACGCCCGCGCGCTGCGCCTCGCCTTGCCCCGCCCCGCAGCGCCCCAGGGTCCAGACGCCGCCTGCTCTCGACTTTGCCCCACCGCAGGGAAGGGCGGTGCCCCGAGGAGTCCACTATTGACCTTCGCATCAGCTCTGCGGTGGGATTGGGCGCATGGGTCGCAGATGTCCACCAAGCACACGTGGAGTGCCGGAGTTGCCGGAGGCCTGGGGTCACCCCCGGACACAGGTGGCAAAAGGGGCCGCGGCCTCTCACTTCCGCTCCCTGCTCATACGAAGAGCTCTTTGGAGAGAAGAGAGGGCCGCCCCTTCTTCGTTCTTTTCCCACATTCCGGCTCAGCACGTCCTCTGAGTTCTGACCTAAGACAGCACAGGGCACTTGGCACAGGACCAGGCCTCTTGGCGCTTCCAGGGGTCCAAGAATAAGAGGTGAAGAGGGAAGTAGAGGCCTCGCTGGACCTCCACGTGTAATGGACTGAGGCTGAAGTAAGATGGGAAACTGAGGTCCGGGGAGACCTGGTCAGGTTCTCGCTGCTGGGGCCTGAGTGGAGAGCCCCCCGCCCCCCACCCCACCCCCACCCCGGGCCCTAGGACTTCTGTCCAAGGCTCTAAGAACACCACAGAACCCTGCGCGCAGTTCCGCCGCCCTTGGTTTCGGATAGAGAAGCTGATGTCCAAGCGAGGCGACCCAGGACAGACAACTCTATTAACCCCCCGAAGTCATTTGCGTTTCAATCAGCTCCAGCTCTGGGTTCCACCCGCAGGACCTTCAGGGCTCCAGGGACCCGCGGGCGGGCGGGTGGGCGGAGCTGGGCTCTGGCTTCGCTCCCGGCGCCGGTCCCGCCCCCACAGCCCGGCCCGCCTCCGCGCCGCGTGGCCGTTGCCGCTGCAAACAGGTTAGGCGTCCCCCGCCCATCTGTCCCCTCCCCCGGCCCGGCTGGCGAGGCAACGGCTAGTCAGTGGATGGCACTGCGGACTATGGGGCAGACTTGCGGCCAGACTCACGGAGCCCGGTCGAGAGGAGGTGCAGAAGAGGGGCGGGGCCGAGGCTGGCGCTGTCCAGGGTGCTGGACACCCTTCCTTTTAATCCACTCCTACGGCTCTCTCCCCTAAAAGGGAGCCTAAAGGGACCAGCGTGCTCACCAAAAGGGAAGAACCTCAGGCCACGTATTCCTCTCTAGCTCATGTTAAAAACAAAACAATAATGCCTAACCACATATCCCTTTTAAAATTAAAATTAATAATAATAAAAATTTTAAAAAAGAAGCACTGAGGGAAAAAAAAACACACCAACTGTTGTTGTGTATTGTGAAGTCAGAACCGACCCATCGCGGATCCTGCAGCGGGTTTTCAGAGGCAGTAAATCGCATTGGGCTGTAACAGAGTAACTGTTGGATTAGAACCAAGTGCCTTAGGGTTGACTGCGCGACTTCTTATCACTAGGCCACCAGTATTCCCTAAAACATCGAGCTGCCAAAAAAAGTCATCTAGCCAGTTCCCACTCATGTCGACCCCATGTATGTCAGAGTAGAGCTGAAGTCCATAGGATTCTCAATGGCAGTTGACTTGGTATGAGCTGTTATCTGAAAGGCTGATTGAACCCATCCAGTGGTTGCAAGGAAGAAAAGTCTGGCCATATATTCCCATAAAAATTCCAGCCTAGGAAACTCTACAAAGCAGTTCTACCTCACAAACAGGGTCACCATGAGTGGAGAAACTCCATGACAAATAACAACAGTGGACAGGAGTAGATGTCTTGGCCTTTCTCCCAAAGCACCGCTGGGGGGATTAGAATACTCTTTAAGTCAGTAGTGGAAAACTGGCTCAGTGATGCAGCTTTGTTGTTATTGTTGTCATTGTTAGGTGCCCTCGAGTCGAGTACAACCTATAGTGACCCTATGAATAACAGTTCTGGCCCTGTTCTATCCTGTGCCATCCTCACACTTCCTAACACATTCCTAGCCCACTGTGGCTATCATCAATCAATCTGGTCGAGGGTCTTCCTCTCCTTCATCAACTCTCCACCTTCCCAAGCATCATGTCTCTCTCCAAGGAAAAACCCTCCTAGCAACATGCCCCCAGTATGGGAAGTGAAGCCTCATCATCCTTGCCTCCAAAGAGCACTCTGGTTGCACCCTCTCCAAGACATGTTAGTTCTTTCAGCCATCCATGGGATGTTCAGCACTCTTCTCCAACACCACAGTTCAAAGGCATCAATTACTTTTCTGTCATACCTAATTCATTGTCTAGCTCTCAGAAAGATCAAGGCTTGAATCAAACACACTTTAGTCCTCAAACTGACATCATTACTCCTCAATAATTTGGAGAGGTCCCTATCTGCAGACTTTCCTAGTTTCCTGATTTCCTGACTGCTGGTACTAAAGGTGTCAATTGTTTATCCAACCAAGATTAAGTTCTTGATAGTTTCAGTATTTTCTCTGTGTATCATGATGTTGCCTATCTGTCCAGTGGTAAGAATCTTTGCCTTCTTCACACTGAGATGCAATCCATATTGAAGGCTGCATTCTTTGATCTTCTGCAACAACTGCTTCAAGCACTCCTTATTTTCAGCAAGCAAGATTGTGTCATCTGCATAACTCAGGCTATTATTGATGCGTCTCCCTTCAATCCTAATGCCACATTCTTCTTTATAGAGTCAAGCTTCTCAAATAATTTGCTCAGCATACAGATTGAATAGATATAGAGAAAGAACACACCCCTGACATACTCCCTTCCTGATTTTAAATCATGTTGGAGAGGGTGCAGCCAGAGTGCTTTTTGGAGGCAAAAAATTATGAAGCTTTGCCTCGCATACATCAGACATGTTGCTAGGAGGGCCTAATGTGTCAAAAAGTGTGAAAATGGCACAGGATAGGACAGGGTTCAGGTCTGTTGTTCATAGCTACTTTGAAACAGAGAATCATATGATGTACTTTACTGGGAATGAAAAACAGAGGAAGAATGGTGTTGCATTTATAGTAAAAAAGTCAATTTCAAGTTCTATCCTGAAATACAATGTTGTGAGTGATAGAATATGTCCATACACATACAAGGAAGGCCCACTAACTATTATTCAAATATACACTCCTACATCCAGAGCCAAAGAGGAAGACATTGAAAACTTTTACTGAATTTTGCAGTCCAGAATTGACTGAATATGCAATCAAGATGCATTAATTGGAATGCAAAATTTGGAAACAATGAAGAACGAATGATCTAGTTAGTCACAATTTATCTAGCACCTATTATATGCTAATCCCAGTACCCAGCTCTTTAAGATGCTCTCAGTTAATCGTACAGTTATTATTGTGTGCCTTTGAGTCAAAATCAACTCAGAGCTGACCCTCCAGTAGGTTTCCAGAGGAGTTAATTGCATGGGAGAAGATTACCCATCCTTCTTTCATGGAGCAACTCATGGATTTCAGTCACATGCATTTGGGATTATAGAGACGCTTCTTGTCACTTAGGCCACCAGAGCTCATAGCAAACCTAATTATAAGAATTTAATAATTAACACATTTAGCCTGGCAAGGCACAAGGGATGCCTGGTCCCTTGTGGTCCTGCATCTCATTCATAGTTGAGCCCAGGATACCTGTGGACCAGCCTTCTCCCATTATTAATTATTCAAGAACTCAATAAAAGGCCAGTGTGGATCACTCATTGGTGCCCCTTGAAGCCCCTCCTATCTGTGCCACACAGATGACTCACTCATACCCCTATCTGTAGCCCACTCTGCAACAATGTCTTCATCCTCAGGGACAGAAGAGCCTCAAATCATGTCCAGGAAAAGGGGCTGCAGGAGACAGCTCCAACTAGAACATTGTCCTCCAGTGCCGTAGAGAGACACTTAAAAGGTTGAGAAATGTGAAGTCCTTTTTCAATGCCTATTATTTCCTATTTTAAGATGTCTATCCCAATCATTTCTCCACTGTAGTAGAGCACTTGGAAAAGTAACCCCCTGCTCCCCCAATGGAAGGGTTCTGGGTTGTTATTTTGTTGTTATTGTGTATTCCTTTGTTGCTTGTTACTCTGAAGGAAGATTTGGAGCCCAAAGAACTTAGCTGGAATAATTGTCCCAGGTGAAGTTTGGGATGTGACTTTAAACATGGGTCTGGGGCTATCAAAGGACCCATTTATACAATATAATAATCAGCCTTTGGGTACAAGGGGGACATTGAATCTGCAATCCCTGCCCTTGGAAATCACATGAGAAGAAAATCCTAAATATGCATTTTTCATGCAACCAGGCTGGGTAGGAAGGAATAAGTCCCCCACAGAGCCTAGGAAAGGCTCCCTCAGCTGATACTTGGGGGTGGGAGAGAGCAGAGGTGCTCGAGATGGAGGGAACTTCAGGTGCAGAGGTCCTGAGAGGTGGAGAGCATGGCAGAGCCAGCTGGAATGTAAGCTTTGCTCCTGTTCATTTAAGTCAGCTTGCGCAAGGTGCTTCAAAACCCCAAGCCTCATTTGCTCTTCTGGGAAATGTGGAGAGCAGATGCACCTTGTTCAGAGTGTTGGCATGGGATCGATTATGCATATGAACCTTGGTCCCATGTTAAGTCGTAGGACTGGTTGGAAGGTGTCATCTACTCATGTTTTTGTTTTTGTTATGTGCCATCGAGTCACTTGTGACTCACAGCAACCCTATGTACAAGAGCCCTAAATGCCGTTCTATCCTGTGCCAGCCTTGCCGTCTCAAACACACTCATTCCCACCACTCCACTCACGGAACTGATCCATCTCATCGAGGGTCTTCCTCTCCTGCGCCGTCCCTCCACTCTCCCAAACATGATGTCCCGCTCCAAGGACCAGTCCCTCCTTGCAACATGCCCAGAGTATGTCAGAGAAATCTTCAGAATCCTTGACTCCAAGGAGCATTCTGGCTTCACCCTCTCCAGGACAAAGCTGTTTGTTCTCCTAGCAGTCCATGGTATATATTCAACACTCTTCTCCAGCACCACAGCTCAAAGGCATCAATTATCTTTCTATCAACCCTAGTCACTGTCCAACTCTCTGATGCATAGCATGTAATTGCAAAGACCATAAACTGGATCAGGCACACCTTAGTCTCCAACCTGACGTCATTGCTCTTCAGTATTCTTTAGAGATCCCTCACAGCTGACTTTCCCAATGCATTTCGTCTCCTGATTTCCTGGCTGCTGTTACCAAGAGTGTTGACTGTGGAGCCAAGTAAACTAAAACTGTTAACTATCTCAATCTCTTCACCATCCATACTGATGTTGCCAATTGGCCAACTGGTGAGAATCTTTGTTTTCTTGATATTGAGCTTCAATCCATATTGAAGACTGCAGTCCCTGACCTTCTTCAGCAAGCACTTCAGGTCCTCCTCAGTTTCAGCAAGCAGGATTGTGTCATCTGCATAACGCAGGTTGTTGATGATACTTCCACCAATCCTGATGCCACATTCATCCTCATACAGCCCAGCATCTCTGATGATCTGTTCTGCATACAGATTGAAAAGGTATGGAGACAAAATACATCGCTGATGGACCCACTTCCTGATTTTGAACCATCCAGTGTCTCCCTGTGACTCTAAACTGTATCTCTCTCTCTCCCCACCTCTATTTCAGTAGTAGCATGTCCTTCTGATTCCTCCGGGTAATATGTCCACAGTACATGAGATTAATTCTTGCCCTCTTTACTTCAAGGCATTCTGGAGTTATGTTTTTCACCACCACCTTCAGTGCAACTAGGCACATGTGCCATGGTTGCTGGTGTGTGTTTTCTAAGGCTGCTGTGGAGGAGCTGAGGACAGAATGTACGTGAGAAAGGCCCGAAAAGCTGGCAGGAATGGTCTAGAAAGAAGGTTCCCAACAGGGGTAGGTCTTCTATGGAGATATCCTTGGTGGCATGGGGTTTTGGAGGGGTTCGCTTGTACCTGGCCAGCATGATAAAGCCACATGATAGATGGAGGTGTCCAGGACCAGGGAAGCCGCTTTGAGGGTGGGGAGTTCAGTTGTGCAGGCACAGGGAAGGATGCCCGTGGCTTCTCACTGTCCAGCGTCACTGCCAGTGGCTCACCTGTAGGATGCGCTCCTTTCACTCGCTCCCCTGCGGAGGGCGCCTGTGGCTGAGTGTGAGGAAACAAAGCTGCGCAATTGGGCTGTGAACGCCTGCTCTCAGCACTGAGGCTGCCGGGGGAGGGAGGCATCTCTTCCGGTTCCTTGTCCACAACCACCCCACCGGGCAGACGCTCCAGCTGCCACTTACCGTAGGAAGCGAGGCTGGAAAGACACCTGGCCACGCCGGAGCACAGTGGTTCCGGTTAGGTTAGAGGCCAGACTCAATTGCCATCGCGTTGATTTCGACCCACAGCCACCCTCCATCGGGATTCCAAAGTTATAAATCTTTTTATGAATTTATTTTTTATTTTATTATTTTTGTGTGTGTATACCGTCAAATCGGATCTGTGGTACAGGAGGAGATTGCCCCTCCTTCTCCAGCAGAGCATCTAGTGGATTCGAATAGTGTTCCTCTGGGATTGCAGTGCAGCTTCTTGCCACTAGGCCACCAGAGCTCCCTTATAAATCTTTTTTTTAATGGAGATTTTAATAGAAGTTTATAGATAACTTGGATTTCCATTCATTCATTGTAGCACATTTTCCTCCTTGCTCCCCTCTCCCCAGTTCGCTTTACTATGCAGCTCTTATTCTGGGCTGTTGTCATGCAAATAATATCTAATAAGATATTCCTTTTAAGCAGTTGTTTGGTAGTTTTGGTGGGTTTGGGGTTGGTTTTTTTTGCTTGTTATGCGCCCTCAAAACTGATCTGAGATTGCCCCTCCTTCTTCAGCGGAGCATAAGGTGGTTTTGAATCAAGCACCTTAGGGATTGCAGCACAGCTTCTTGCCACTAGGCCACCAGAGGTCCCTCCTTTTAAGCAGTTCTTACCCTCATCTGTTTCAATACAGTGTACATTATTTATCCCCTCTTTTCTTAGTTTACCCCCAACCTATGTCAGTCCTATTTTATAATAATGACATTATGCACCGAAGTTATAAATCTTAACCGGAGGAAACAGCCCTTCTTTCTCCCGTGTAGCCCAGATAGGTTCGAACCTAACCCTTTACAAGCCTTTTGGCTGTCAGCGCACCGCGTTAAGCATTACCAAGTCCATGGTGCGCAGCGCCACCAGGTGGTGGACCAAGGGGATCGTGTCAGCTGGACCAAGCATTTCCAGCGCCACCCTCAGCTGGAGCTGGCTAGGCGCTGGGGGAACCCAGTTAGTCCCGGTTGGACTCTCACGGACTCCAGTAGGTGCGAGGAAGATGGAAAAGGCAGAGCCGCATGGTGTCAAGGTCACTCCTACAGTCCCTCAGCTCCCATCTCTGGCTGTTCTAACCACTGTACCTGCGCAGTGTCTCTCTCCAGCTCCTAGCTGTGACCAAAAGCTGCACGTTGGCTGCTCCTCCTTCCAGTGCCTTCCCACCCTCCTGGCTCCGGTCATGGCCTCTGCTGCTCCCTGCTCCAATATTCTTGCTGTCTCTTCTCCTAGCTTGATAACCACAGATGCCCAGGCCCATGATTGAATTCGCCCCTTGGGTACACTAACCCTTATCATTCTCCCAGACAAAGCCAAGCTTCCCTTTTCTTTCTCCCCAAGGGACAGCCCTCAGGCCTGGAGGGACTGAAGAGGTGAGAGGACTCAGGGTTCCCTGCACTTATCTGGGACATAGAGGCAGAGCCCCGGGGGATTCCTTAGGCCGGGGATTCATAGCCTTCTTCCTCCTGTCTGGGATGAATGTCCCTTCTTACCACTCAGACCCCGGCCCCAGGACACCTGCTCAAGTGGCTGTGCCTCTCCTGACTGCCTTCATAGTCCCCACAAATCACTGTCACCTCCTTTCTCTGTACCGGAGACAGTTGCCACTCTCTACTATTGCAGTCGTTGTTTGCTTTGGCTTGTGTCCCCAGGGCCAGGACAGCATAGAGTGGGCACTCCTTGATGAACGAATTCCACACCCAAAGGCCTCGACAGCTCCCCAAGTTTTTCTAATCAGATTTCACAACCCTAGGACTCTCAAGGTGGGTTTTTTTCCCTTTTCAATATTTTTTATCCTTAATTTCAATGAAAATATAGAGACTTTGGATTTCCATTCATTCATTGTTGCACTTTTCTCCCCTCCCAAGCCTCTCCCCTAGTACACGAACTTCTTGAAAAAGTAGAAGAAAAATTCTATCATTGTTTTACAATCCCTCCCCCTAGGTCCACTCCACCATGCAGCCTTCGCTCTGGACTCCCATCATGACAAAAATACCTAATCACATAGCCCTTTTAAACAGTTTTCTCCCTCATCTGTTTCAATGCAGTATACATTATTGAACCCATCTTTCTCAGTCTCCCCCTAGGCCCTAGGTCAGTCCTGTTTTACAACAGTGGCACCATGCAGTATTTGTCCTTTCGTGACTGAGATACTTCATTCAGCATAATGTCCTCCAGGGTCACCCATTTTGAACAATATTGCATGAGTTCCTTGTTTTTCAATGCAGCATAGTATTCCATTGTGTGAATATACCACAGCTTCTCTATCCATTCGTTTATTGATGGCCACTTAGATTTTTTCCAACTCCTTGCTATTGTGAACAAAACCGCGATAAACATGGGTGTGCATGACTCTCAAGTTTTAAATGAAGCAGATTAGACTCTCAAGTTTTAAATGAAGCAGATTAACAGAGAAGCGCCTCCTCCACCGCTCCGCTTTTCGTTTTCTATTCAAGGTGCTCTTGTCTCTGTCTCCATAGACCTTTGCGAGGATTGTCCGCAGTTTTAAGGTCGCTCAGTTTTCCAGGCGCGTTCCAGCCCTCCTGTGCCCCTAGATTTCCAGCGCCCGGAGTTTTCCGATGCCTTAAGTCCTCCTGGGAGCCTCACAGGACTTACAGGGTGCGGGGCGTGGCCAAGCCGACGGCGGGGCGTGGCCAAGGCTACCGCGGGGCGGACCTGAGACTTAAGCCTGGTGCCTGCAGCAGGAGGTCTGGCCTCAGACCATAGTGGAGGCTGAGCAGAGCGCATGAGAGAGCTGAGTTGAGGCTGGGCCGACTTGGCCCGCCTCCTCTGCAAGCGGAGCCCCGACGGTCGAGCACCCGGCTCCTCTGTCCCCAGGTCTCCCCCATGGCGCCCCTGGAACTGCACTGAGCACGGGGTGGCAGCCCACTGGAGGCATCATGGCCTTGGAGCTGGTACTGCAGGCGACGCGAAGGGGTGACTTGGATGTACTTAAGACCCTGCACGCCTCCGGTAAGCTGAAGCTCTCGCTGCGCGACCAGCTGGACGCACTGCCCATGCACCACGCGGCCCGCGCCGGCAAGCTGCCGTGCCTGCGCTTCCTGGTGGAGGTGGCCGCCCTGCCCGCCACGGCCCGCGCCCGCAACGGCGCCACACCGGCCCACGATGCCGCTGCCACCGGCCAACTCTCTTGCCTGCAGTGGCTGCTCTGGCAGGGCGGTTGCGAAGTGCAGGTGAGTCTGCAAGTTACCTGGGTGCCTTCCGTCCTGGAACCTTGAGCAGCTCAGTGCTTGGTAAAGTTGGGTACCTACTGGGCCCAGAGGGGCCCTGCGTGGAGCACCTGCCAGAGGGCTTTGCATGGGTTAAGCGTTCTGGCACAGGCCCGGGGGAGCCCTTGGACGCTTCCAAGAGCTGAACTTGGTGATAAATTGGTCCTCCCTGTACCAACATTTACAAAATACCCAGGGTTGACAACATTATTCTCCAAAGGCCTGTGGGAATTGGGAGTACATAGGACCCAGGCCTTCTAAATATCAGGTCTGGAGGGAAGTGGGCAAAGTCTTCACTCAGGCCTGTAACTGGGTGCTGGGGAGTTCCTCTAGACCTAGGCTGACCCCTGACTTCAGGTCTCCCAGGCCTGAGCTGCTTCTCCATCCTCCCCAACCTATCTTCCTGTCGTCAGGCCCGTCTGGTCTCTCTCTGTCCTCACCTTGGGTCCACCTGACCCCTCCTGAGCTGAAGGAGGAGGCAGGTCAGGCTGCACAGTGGCTGTGCTGCCCAATACTTGTTGGAACTAGAGCATCAAATGGGTACAGTGGAGCTGTTGCCTTTCCAGAGCTGCCCATGGATGAGGAGCAACAGCCAACAAAGCCACAGACTGAAAGCAAACTGGGTGGCACCAGGGCTACTGGGTCACGCCCCAGAGAGCGACAGATGCTGCACAGGCTGGGTGGTGGGGAAAGGCCCCTCTGAAGAGTGACGCCCAAGGGGAGTCTTGACTGCTGAGAAGGAGGTGACCAGGTGGCAGACAGAGTCCTGAGCACAAGGAACAATAAGTGCAAAGCCCTCAAGCGTGCAGGCTCTTACTCTGCAGGAGGGACAGCATGGGGTAGAGCAGGTGGCCACGGCCTCCCAGGCCAGGTCCTGTGAGGTCAGGTAGGCTAAGGTTAGGAAGAGGACTGATACTCTGGCTGATGGGGGACGCTCGTGGAGGAAGATCCAGAACTGATTGTCTACTTAAGACCACCAGCTTAAGGGGAGGAGTGCCAACAATATATATATAGTCATCATGAGTTGGAGTTGATTTAGCGGCAATAGGTAGTTTCAAAAGGAGGAAAGAGGGGTGCCTCTGAGCTGGCTTGTTGTGCTTCAAAGATTCCACCCCCACCTTCTGCTCTCAGGAAGGCAAGGCCCCCTCCCACTCTTCCTGGGAGATGGTTTTTTATCTCTTGGCAGGCCCTGTTATCATGGGTTCCTGGTTACATGGTCCGTGCCCAGTCCTGGGGGTGTGAGAATGGCATGTTCCTCCCTGAACAGTGTCCAGCCCTGGCAGGAAGCCCTTTCTCCTCCCTGGACCCCAAGTTCAGCTTTGCCCAGAAGCCTCCGTTGCCACTGCAGAGGAGGTGGGGAGAAGCGGGCAACCTTGTATCCAGCTTATCAAGACCCTAGCCTTCAACTCCCAGTGGGCTTGGGTGTTTGGGGTGGAAGTGGAAGTGTGAGTGTGATAGTATTGACCTTGACTCCAGGCCTGCACAGCCCAGAGAGATAAGCAGCTTTAGATTCAGGCTCCCGTATGCTGGCTCCGGGGCCTGCAGAGCTAGTGAAGCCTTGGGGACAGGCCGGAGTCCGTGGGTTTGTGGGCATTCCCGCCCCGAGATTCAGACCCACAGTCTGTGAGGCCAGTGGGAAGAAGGGCCTTTCTGAAGAGCTGGGGCCAGGACACACTTCACCCTGGTTCCCCACAGGTCCTGCTCACTTCTGGGTAGCCCGCGGTGCTAAGCGGATAGACTAAACCCATTTTCGGGTCCTGGGCAGGCTGCCTGCGTGCAAGGGCCTCAGCCTCAGCTTCCTGTGGGCCGCTGGTGCTCAGCCTTGTCTTGCTCCTTGCCTCCTCCGAGGGGGAGACTCTGTCTACTTACTCTGTCTCAGCCTCACTGAGCACTCCCAGTGGTGCCCAGGCCCACGTGTCTGCTTTGCTCCCTTGTGTCTTTCAGGAGCCTCATAACTTCCCATCCTGTGGCATTTGGCTCAGGATTTAGCGCAAGGTCTCTAATTAGTTCCTGTTGCCCCCACAGTGCCCTCCCTCCGGTCTTCTTTCTCTTCTCATCACACAGTGTCCACTCCCTCATGGCTACCTCAGCCTTTCCCCTGTCCAGCTCCCTGCCACCTCTGTGTCATCCCACGTGCTTGACATGGGGGTTTGTGCTGTTCCCTAACCAGTACCCACCCTCCCAAAGGCACTAGCCTCAGGCTCAGACTTCTGGGTCCTAGAACTCAGCTCCTTAGCCAGGTGGCTTACAGCACTAGCCTCTTTCAACAGCCCCACACCTGAGGCTCACAGATGACTTTGTGCTCAGAATTCTGGACCTAGACCATCAGCCTCACCCATCAGGATGCCTTGGGGGTTAAAGCCCCTGCCATTGGCTGCTTCTAACCCACACTGTAAAGTCTTCCCACCAGTGAAGCTTCCTCTTCCACAGAGTCAAGAACACAGTCTAGTCCCTGTGACCAGGAGCAGGGGCTCTGCTAGAAGGACTATTCTCGGCCCTGAGGTTGGGTTCTTAGAAGTGCCATCCACATAACAGAGACTCTATTTCCATGTGACACCTTGGGGAGCAAAGAACAAGGATTGAAGCTGGAGTGTCAGGCTGGAGTAGCCCCAGTAGCCCACTCTTTCTGGTCCTGCTAAGCCCAGCGATCTGTGGTCACCTAATCATCCGTGCCTCGTTATAAGCATTTGGAAGCATGGTGTCAGTTCTGGAATAGAAGAAGCTGCTAGCACCAAGAATGTGGATGAGAAAGCAGACAGAGAGCAGGGCCGGGATGGAACAAGGGCTGAGGCAGACGTGAGGGGTGGATACAGCGTGACAAAGATGTAAATCCAAGTTCAGACCTGTGAGTATCTAAGTACCAGGCACTGTGCCTCTGGGTCATCATCTGAGGGCTTGCTGCCAGCTGGGCACAGCACAGGGTGACCTGCTGGCCTCAAAAGAACCCAATGGCAGGGATTTTGAAGACTAAGGGTCAAAAGGGTTTGCCCCACAACAGGCAAAGGAGTCAACCCCCAGATCAACTCAACTTCCAAAATAATTGTCAAATGAGGCTTGGCCTCTCCACCAATGGTGAGCAGAGAAGACATACCACCCCAGAGGCTCCTGGGAGGCGGGAGGGGGTGTGAACCAGAGATGGTGGCAGGGGCAAGTTTTGCACTAACTGCTCTCCTCCCACAGGACAAAGACAATTCTGGTGCCACAGTCTTGCATCTGGCTGCCCGCTTCGGCCACCCCGAGGTGGTAAACTGGCTGCTGAATTATGGCGGCGGGGACCCTACAGCAGTCACAGACACGGGAGCCCTGCCTATCCACTACGCTGCCGCCAAAGGAGACTTCGCCTCCCTGAGGATGCTCGTCCAGTGCTACCCTGAGTAAGGACCCCCTCGGGCCTTCGGGGGGGCGCCTAAGGCCAGAATGACATGCCCCTCTAGTATTACAAGAAGTGACCACTTCCTGTGGTCCTCACCGTGTCCAGGGAGCCGGGCCGGAGGTAGCTCCTATTTTAGCTCTTATCTTGTCCCTTCCTTGGCAACCCTCCGGTGGCTCCCCACGGTCACTTGCCCCAGAGCTGTGCAAGCAGGCTGCCAGGGGCAACTTGGGGGGCCTGGCCCCAGGCCAAGAGCATGATTCCCTCCAGGATCTGACCAGCTCCCTGCAAGGGGCTCTCTGGAGCTCAGGCCTGGGCCAATCTGCAAAGCTGGGGGAGAATGGGCCTGTCACATAGGGAGAGGAGGAGCCATGGCAGTGGTCAAACTCCTTATTCAGGTCCTCCTTGCCCTGCCCAAACCCTGTACCCCTTCTCCTAGCAACAGAAATCCCTGGTTAATTCCACCCATAAGCTCTGGTTGTTTATTGTCATTATATGCCATTGAGTTAACTATGACTCATTATGACCCTTGCACATTAGCTCTGAACCCTGCTCTATTCTAGTCTCACTGTCTTTGACACACCTACCCTCTCATCCCAATTGCTGTGTCAATCCATCTCATTGGGGTCTTCCTCTCCTACATTGTCCCTCCATTTCTCCAAGCATGATGATGTCTTTCTCCAAGGACTGGTCCTTTCTGGCCATGTTCCCAAAGTATGTGAGACAGAGCCTCAAAATCTTTGCCTCTAAGGAACAACTTGGTTTCACCATCTCTAGGACAGACCTGTTTATTCTCTTGGCAGTCCATGGTATGTTTAATATTCTCCACAACTCAAAGGCATAGATTCTTCCTCTGTAATCTTTCTTCATTGTGGTGGTTCACATTCACCAACTGCTGGGCGGGAGAAAGATGGACAATTTCTTTCTGTGCGTTTCGTTGTTGTGTACCAGCCATTGAGTTGGAACTGACCCATAGCTGACAGCAGTTCTGACTCTACAGTGCATAGCAATAGCCCCGGAAGTCCCTGGCTAGGCCATGGAGTGCCTCTAGTGGATTTCCTGTGGCCCTCTCAGCCCATCCCTATCAGTCAGGTGAGGATGGGGCACCCAAAACTCCCAGCACCCTTGGCAGAAAGATGAGAGCTCCCCAGGACAGAAGACATACAGGATGTGACTCACATATACAGGATGGGACAGCTGCCTAGGCCGACCTGAGGCCATGGGGACCCATGGCCACAGAGCCATAAGCTGGAATGAGGGCTCTGACCAGAGTCCCTTATTACACAAAAGGAGAAAGAGGTCCCAACTTGAGGGGTGGAGACAGCTTCCAGGTGCCACTCCTGAGGGCACCTGTGGGGACCATTGAGGCCGGCTGCTGCACTGCCAGGGCTAAGGTGACTGCAGCTGGCAACCTCTTGGGCCAGGAACACTAGTATGAACACAGGGTTCCCCTCACACCCACCAAGCGAGGCTCCAGTGTCCCTCGGCTGGTTCTGCCCTCACAACAAGGGGTTACCTGCTTTGTTAAGCTAGATGCCAAGAGGGGCTCCAAATAGGCAGGGGTTCTCCTCCCAACCATGTGACTCAGGTGTGAATTCTGGCTTCTAGTCAAGTAAGTCATTGAGTCTCATCAGAGTCAGGGGTTTGGAGAAGGGATCTAGAGAGAGACCTTTGAGTAAAGGTCCCAACCTGGAGCCATCAGGACTCTGGGGGGGCTCTGTCACTGACCCTGAGGCAAGACTGTCCAGGTCCCACCTGGTGATTCCAATGCCCACATCTGCTCCTGTCCAACTACCTCGCTGAAAGTAGAGGACGCCAAGATCTTGAGGGAAGACTGTCTTCGCACAGCAAGGAACCCTCTCTTCAAACTTAATGCAATCAGGAAACCACCATTGACGACAAGGCACTCTTAGCCCAAATAGTGTGGCCTGTGGCCTGGAAGTACAATGTGAGATCTGACGAGAAAGGTGAGGACCCCTAGGGGATCAACAGAGAAGTTTGGGGCCTAGGGTAAGCCAGAGTTCCTTGTCAGCTGAAGCCCCAGGTTTTAGAAACCATGGAACACCCATGTGGGCTGAAGGTCCAGGGGACTCCAGCCCCCTCCCAGGCTGTGTCAGATGCTAGATGTGATTGGCTCAGTGGCCAGATGGCTCAGGCTGATGGCCTGCAACCCCCCACCAGGAGTGGTCATGAATCTCAGGGAGAAGGACAAGAGACTTGGGCTTTGTCCCTGCAGTAGTGTGTGGCCTGGCTGATAAGGAGGTGTTTTTGTGTGATTGCCAGGCTGGACACAGGCAGCAGGTGGGGCAAAACTGGAGGAGAGGTTGCAGGGCAGGGGGGATGAGGGGCTTCTAAGGCTTTGTTGCCTCTAATCTTGGGGAGGAGGGGTGTCTCCCTCAAGCTTGGGAGCATGCAGGGTTGGGGCTGGGGAGGATCTCCACAGCAGAGCTCAATCCAGGGACCTTGGGAGCACTCAGTGGCTGCAGCTCTGTGCTCTCGTGCGCCTCCAGCCTGCTGTGAATCGCTGTGAATTATTCACAAGGGCTCAGCTCTCTCCCTGGTGGTGGGTGAGGGAGGAAGAGCTCCAGTACAGGTTGGAAACTTGATGCCGCCCAGGGAGGCCACAGGCAGCCATGGCCACGCAGTGACAAGGTGCAGAAGAGGTAGAGGGCTGGCCAACCTCAGAGGGGCAGCTGCTGCCCAGGCTGCTTGGCAACCATGGAGTAAGACAGGGCTGTGGGTTGGAGAGGACCCTGCCTGCACTCAGCTTACCATTGGTCTGCCCTGTTCATTGCAGAAATTCCCCTGGAAGCAGAAGTGCTGTCACAATGACCTCCCGGCTGCTGTCCTTCCAGTGGAAGGAAGGATCTTAAGCTGGAAGGTCTGAGGGTGGCAGGAACTAGTGGGTATGTTTTAGACATGGGTCTGGTTGTTGTTAGGTGTCATCACGTACAACTCATAGCGACCCTTTGAGCAATAGATCTGAATGCTGTCCTATCCTGTGACATCCTCACCGTCTCAGACACACTTGAACCCATTGCTGCAGTCATTGTGTCAATCCTTCTAGTCAAGGGTCTCCCTCTCTTTCGCTATCCTTCCACCTTTTCGTGCATGAATTAAGGCCTGCTGGGCAGAAGCTGGAGTTCCTGGAGGGGAGGAAATGAGATGTCCAGAGCCCCTGTAGGGCAGGTCGGGGTTAAGGGTAGAGTCAGGGAGTCCCACAAAGCCCTCCAATTCAGCAACAACCGGATGATCCCACCAGGCTTCTGGCTGCCCTGGGGTCTGAACAGCTGGAAGGAGCTTAACCCACATGGAGCCGTGGATTGGGGCTGCCTAGTTGTGCGACTCAGAGCAGAAAGCTTCTCCTTCCCCGGGGCTCCCACGTCAACAGCAGCAGGAACAGGCAACTATCTGCCCAGAGATTGTTATCAACTCCAGCTGCCTCAGTGCCTCCTTCCTCCAGGGCCTCCCCAACCTGGGTGTGGGAACCAGGGAGAAGAGCTGGGATGTGCCCCAGTCCTGAGTGGAGATAAAACCAGGACAGTCCCTACCTGCAGAGGGCCTCACAGCCACCTGAGGAGGCAGGCTCTACACTCAGCCCATTTTACAGGGCAGGTCCTTCAATTCAGACTCATTGAGCACCTATGCTAAAGAGTAAGGATCCCAAGTGGTGTAGTGGGTTACACGTACTGCTATCTGAAAGCTCCGTGGTTCAAATCCCCAGGAAGTAGACAAAGCTCCTGTGAAGAGTTACAGCGTCAGAAACCCGCTAGAGGGTAGGCATGCGTTAGAATAGATGGCAGTGTGTTCTGGTTTCGTGTGTCAAGCAGTATTCCAAGTGGACTAACAGACGAACAGCCCTGCCTTGAAGAGCTAACCAATATCAAAACGCATCTTGGAGAGGCTCTGTGACCAGTAAAGGCCCCCAATAGAGGCTACCACTAATTGGCTCTGTGGCCTCAGCAAACAGCACTCCCTCTCTGGTCTGTCTGGCTCTGATCTCTCAGGCTGTGCATTTCCCATGGACAGCAAAGACTTCCACCATTTTTCTTCACTTAGAACAAAGCATCAGCATGGAGCCTGGTCGCCTGCTCCATCCAGTCCAACCTGAGGGTGAGGCAGCCTCCACCAGGGTCAGAGAAGGCATCTCTGTCCTCTGAGTGGACAGCTCAGCTCTCCCCCTGGAGCCTGGGGTTTTGCGTGGGCCAACGCTGCTCCCTACCGGTGGGCCTCTTTTTCTGCTCAAGGTAGAGGGCTCATGCATTCTTCATAGCCTCCTCGCCCAGGTCCATCACTTCTGAAACGGGGCCTACGGGAGACACCTGCAATGGCTGGTCCATGGAAGGGAGGGGATACTGGTGTGACAGCTCTGATGTCAGAGCCAGATGGATACTGTGAGAATAGAGGGGCCTAGGGATCAGAAAAGCCACTCTGAGGAGAGAGGATCCCAGGAGGCCCCCAGGGCATCCTCAGTCCACTCCCTCCAATGACTTTTCTCTCTGATCCAAGACTTCATCATCTCACAGGGACTTAAGACATCCTCTCTCTGCTTCTGTCATTGCACTTTCCAAGTCCTCGGAAAAGGCTCCACACTCACTACCAGGGAGGAAAGAAAGGCCTTGAGGTCCACCTCCACCCAGCACTCCTCCCTTACCACCTGACCTACACCTTGAACTTACTCTCACCTCGATTATCCTGCTTCCCTTTCCTAGCTTCCTTGCTGGTCTTTCCACAGAATTGCACCCCAGGACCTTTGCACTGGCCTTTTCTCTGCCTGGAACACACTTCCCAGAGAACCCATAGTTGCTACTACCTCCCTCTGCTTTAGTTCTTCTTAGTAAGGCTGGCCCGGATTATTTACCTTATAATCAGCCCCGGGACACACACTCCTTCCCTGACTTCCTGGCCTGCTTTGTTGTTTTTTTTTCAATCTGCTTTATCTCTTGGAGCAGTTTTAGGTTTAAAAAACAAATTACACAGAAAGTACAAGGAGTTCCCATGTGT